CCTTCTCTCTGATCAGACCCGACGATGTCTCAGAAAAAAGTACTACTTTTATTTAATAATATACAATAGAGAGCCTGTTTATCGTAATTTAGTCGTTAACAGTATGATATTAAAAATGTATTAAATTTTCAGCTGGTCCGTAGAAGATAATCCAGTAGACAGTATGCATTCAAATATCTTACGCTCTATTACGGCCCATAAACACAACTTAATTTTAATGGGGTTTGTTTCCATAACGTCATTACAATACTTTCCGCGTCATTTATCGAGAGGCGACTGACAGCGTCATGTAATAATAATTTCCAGCGTGAATAATTCACAAATGAAAATGCTGACAAGCAAAACAATCTGCATTTTAAATAGGGACCGTGTTGATAATATCGACAGTGCTCAATGTTGTTGCTCACTCCAATAAAACGCTTCTAACGATCCCCGTAGCCCGAGTATTATTCTAAGGCAAAAAAAAAACAAAAAAAAAGTATGCCAGTATATGGATAAATATCTAATGATATTGATATTATTTTTCATTCAAAAGATAAGAGACCATTCAACAAAAAACAGTTCTAAATGGATGGCTCTTTAACACATAAAAAGGAAAATCTATATTCGACAACAAGAAGGAAAAGGTTAGAAGAAGTTGGTTAAAGATTTGGTCATGGATATTTCTGAAAAATGCTCGGAACAAGTTTAAGGTTTGTTTTTCAATGGGCACCTTTTTATATTAATTTTCTTTCAGGATTCTACTGTTTTATAGGAGCGAATTTTATGTAATCTATCTAGAAATATATGCAATTACTTTATATAAAATTTAGAATAATTTAATCACATTCGCCCACCTTATTGTATAATTGGGTAAAGTAAAAAATGGTGGGGAAACACATGACAAAGTGAGTGAAGACGGTAAGCCGCCTCACCACCCTGCATTCTTTGATTCTTCGTGATTTTGAATTCGATTCGTCGATCATTATTATTAATTTAAATGGTTGCTAATTGACCTACCAACCCAGTAGCTGAGTAAGTGTTACCTTACCTTACCTTACCTTACCTTACCCTACCGGTTGTCTATATCAATTTTGATGGATATTGACATTTAAATCCCGTGAAAAGTCATTCAAAAACTCCTTTACTAATAAGATTTACAAAAATGGTATATCTTCTTGAAGTCTTTTGTTTTGTGGAAACATCCAATATCTATACAATTTTTTTTTTGTAATCAAAATTTAATAAAATATAACCCCGAATAAGCGGTTGTTTTTTCTTGTTCGGCTACTTGGTATCAATTTACATATCGTTTTACCCCTACGAGGCGGGTTAGGACACGCTGTGACCTTTTCTTGTTGGGCCTTTAATTAACGGCGTAATTAAATCTGAGGCTTTAAACCGCTCTTCGGTAAAAATTAATTTCCTTCAGCGGAAGGATCGCAACTCGGTTGTCAGAATAGCAAAACAGGCACGGGACAAGTAGGCCACTGAACTAAGGAAATGAAACAGGATAAAATTCTGAGTAACAGAAAAACGTCGGGAAACTGCAGACATGGGGTATCAAAAGTAAGATATGCATCCTTCACAACTTAATGTCGTAAATAATACCTATATAAGAAAATTACAAAGGGCTGCGATTAAATATATTTCAAAATCGATAAAGCAAAAGATAATTTATGTTGTTTAAATTGAAACAACAATCTGCTATATTTTGTCGCTTAAACAGTTGAAAGTATGATTAAATAGACGCTAAACAGTTTTTTTGACAGTCTCTCTCAGTGACACCATAGATACTCGATGAGAGACGGAGACTTGAGTCTCGCTTTTAGAGAATAGCAAATACTGCATCCTTAATTATTCGGGAAGAGTAGTCTAATATGGGACTAACTTAACTTCTCTTAACTACTTCTAGTATGTCTCTACCTAGACCGTCATTCCTGAGACATTACCTATCATATCAACCAATATCGCCTATTTCTTATTCACTTCTAATACCTCCTCATTTCTAACCTTCTCTGTCAATGGTATATCATCACATTTCAAACGCTTCTAACATTTTATTTTCCACCGCACCTACAGTCAACAATCTTTTTTGAATTTTTAAATTAATTGTTTGAATTGTAAGTATAGAAGACTTCTTTTTGTTACAGGCGACCCTACCCTGCGCTATCCTTTGCTTTATATCTCCAATTGAAATATCTGAATTGGTAGATATGGAAAATCAGTGACTTTTTCTAATTTTTCGTTTCCTATCTTTATATTCACTCTTTTGTTTTGTTTTACTTTTATTTAATTTCGTGCTAATTCTTCTTCATAGACAACAGCACTAGCTACTAGATATATTGCTTTTCAGCAACTTCCTCATAATATAGGACATCTCTCTAGGATCGAAGGACAAAATATATTTGTCGTTTAACCCAAAGAAAAATTTGTTATGTTGTTAAAACGGTTAAAATAACGGTTAAATACTTGTACGGTATAGGGTTCAAGGACTTGCCAAGGACTAACAATTTTTGTGGTATATGTCGAAGAATGAGTTGATTACTTTATGTTCCCTAAACGTTCGAAAATGTCGCGATATTTGCGGCAAAGGGGTGGTTTACTGTTTTTATTGTGTCACGCGCGCATAAAAGAGTTTTTTTTTTGTTGGATTGCGGTGATATAACGACAGGTCCCTTTCGTCCGTTCTTCTTATTTTCGCGGCGACCGTGACGGCTTTTCGGTGGTAGTGGTTGGCTGTTAGTTTTCTCCTCGAGAAAGTAGATGACAGGGTATTAAAGACGTGGTTTATTTGACGAATACGTAATCAAGAAGCTTGTTATGCACAGCAGTGAACAGCTGTCACTACCCTTCCCGGAACGGGGCGGGGGGGACGGTGCGGAGGTGACGTTGGTAACGCGGTGATGGCAGTGGTTCGAGGTCGGAAGGTTTTTCTGCTTTTCGCGTTATGCGTGCTTTCAAGGGAACTTGACAGGGTCCTGGGCGATGCTGTTGCTTTTCGTTCCTTTTCCTTTCCGCTCCTCTTCCTCCTCGTCTTACGCCTCCACCCGGCCCCTTTAGATTTTATATATCGATTTTTTTTCAAGCCGACGACAAATAAACTCAAACACTTAACGCTTTCATGGCAGGAAATTATATTAGCGATTTTAGGTAAACGCTAGGAATCGCTTGTGGTCGAAATTTGACTAATTTACTTTCAAATCAAATAAAGTTCATTTCCTGCCCATACGAATGACACTTTGAAACAATCACAAACATAAAATTGTTATAATCGGAACTACTCGTACGTATTCAGATAATTTTGTATATCTGACGAGCGGTATGGGATAGACTGTCAGCCGATTCACCACCCTATTATACGTTTAGATTGAAAGAAAGATAAGAACCATCTATTTACACGCACTTAGGCCATTCTGGAACATTCCAGAACATTGTGGAGCATTCTCGAACATTTTCAAAGGTTCTAGTAAACGAAGTAGTAGTTTAAAGGTTATTTTTCCAAATAAAAAAAGTATTGACCTTGATTTTTGTATTCAGATAATTTTGGATATTTGCCGAGCGGTATGGGATAGACAGTCAGCCGATTCACCACCCTATTATACGTTTAGATTGAAAGAAAGATAATAACCATCTATTTACACGCACTTAGGCCATTCTGGAACGTTCCAGAACATTGTGGAGCATTCTCGAACATTTTTAAAGGTTTTAGTAAACGAAATATTAGTTTAATAGAGATTTTTACAAATAAAAAAGTATTGACCTTGATTTTTTTATATAGAAAGAGTAAGGGTTGGGATTTAGTCAAAATATTTCGTACACTCCAACAAATTGTACATTTTTAGTGGGAGACGTAGGAACTTGGTGGTAGTGGTGGATTAAAAGAATGCTTGGTGTGAGGATATACAAAATTTTCTTCTTACGTCAAATTATTATTGCTCCTAACCGTAATTAGTAATCAGAGCTCAAGCTACCCCCATTCATAAAACAGTATTAGGGACATATGTTTTCATTTCTATCAGACAAACAGCCACTTGAGCTTCTTCAAATTCCGCGATTCAAACGCAACAAGGCGCCTAATTTAAATCTGGTACACTTCAGGTTGGAATTGAATTTTTTAGCCACCGTTTGCACTTAGCCGTAAAGAGGGTAGTTTCAAATGAATGAATGAATGAATGGTATAAAAGCTCTCGGTGCGTCAAGGTGGCACTGTTGCGGCTGACGCTACGCTGTATGCTCCACAGATGAACAGTAATCGTGGGAGACAAGGACCCTCCACTCGCTGTTAATTATTCATACAGCTTTTTAAAACCAACTGCAAAATACGTAAAAGCCAAGCGGTGCACTATTAGGGTTACTTTCACAAGCAGTTAGCAGCCGCGACTTTAATGCAATCGCGAAAATGCAACAGAATTACCTATTCAACGTTCCGCTCATAATAAGCTTAACACCACACTAGTGGATCTGACGGATCTAATCCAAAATAAAGTTGAAAAGTGAAACTTAAAACGATCTACCAGTTATCTAAACATCAATTTAATTAAATTAAACAATCTGGACAAGTAGTCAATGCCCCTGTACCATGTTTTCATGACGAAACAGCGTCTAGAGCGCATGAACAGAACGAGGATTCTGATTGGTAAGTCGCAGTTACAGACCTTTCTACAAACATAAGCACCGAAAATTGAGTACATATATCCTGTTTAAGAAAAAGTAGACAAACATGTTCTTCTAATAATAACAGAATGGTTTCAAAACCAAATTGATACGAAATTCTTATTACCTAATCGTAATTTATTTTGCAACAATAGGTAATAGAATTTAAATGTAATTAATTTAAAATAATTATGCTTAGTGTTATACCACTGTTTATTTTTGTTTCGTGTGGGAAATTCATAAATGTGCAACACGACACAAAACGTAGAGACAGAAAAAGAAGATAAAATTAATTTTTCGCGATAACCACCTGTCGTTTCACATCGTCATGACAATTCTTATCTGACAGGCGTCGTCAAATGATAATTTTGTTATGTCCAATAGCATTCTGAACGTCAAGTTTGAAATCATTAATTTACTCAGTTCGCTCTTTTATGGAATAAGGTAAAAAACAGATATATTCTTTTAAGCATACATTATATTTATTACGATTGATTTTTAATAGAATGAAAATTATGCGCAGATTATGCATATGATTAGTACTATGTCAACTGCTTTTCGTATATTCTATTACCTTGAGGAATAATGATCAAGCATAATACACTCTCTATAACGAAACAAAGGCATACGTTGTCCTCGGGAAAAAAAATAAAAGACAAAATATAAGTGAAATTACCTAAATAACGCGTAATTTCCATTTTGTAATGAAATAGGCCAATGCTGTACACTTCTTGTTGAAAAAATAAACACTTCAAATTATGCAATCTAATTGTTTTAGAAGGTAAATTAACTGGATGAGATTTAATTTAAAATTAAATAATGGATGTTATGCAAAGTCTGTACTTGAAGCATCTTGGGCACTGAAATTCACGTCTAACAAATGGGTTTATTCAAGCAGTTAATGATAAGGAAGTGGAGCAAATATGCGTATCACTCATGCGTTAAAAAAATGGTGAAGACCCCCTAATAATGTACTTACGGTTCGCAGTACCTATAAATGTCAAAAACAATCGTTCTCAAACAAATTACGCCCTGTAGGTGGTAAATTGAGCCTACAGGTAATTAAACATTCGTTTCTGTAGATATTCGTCAAAATTATGACAAGAAAATTAAAATTCTTTTTCGTAATGAACTTATCGCAAAAAAATTGTACCTAAACCTTACAAACTTAACAACTCATGAGAACAACTATAAACTTCTTCTTAGTCTAAAATATTATGAAACACATTGAAATTCTTATTGGTTTATATTAAATATTAATTTGAAAATTCATTCTCAATTTTTTTCCATTGGTGATCTCAAATTAATAAGAAAAATTTTGTTTTTGCTGTTGTCACACCCTCATCGGGAATAGAACCCGGGACCTTTGGCATTACCAATAAAAATTTTTCTCATTATTTCGAGTAACTTATAGTGGAAAAAAATTGAGGATGAATTTTCAAATTAATATCAAAATTGTGGAAGTGCTTGTCATACAAAACCGAATTCAAAATTTTAACCTAGGAAACTTGTTGTATCTGATACGTATAAATGTAGTTCAGTAGGTAAATATTTTTTTCGACAAAGAAGCATGCCACTATTCTTATAGTAGATACAAATTCCCCCGTGGTCATTACCCGAAATGAGAAAGAATGATTATCTTTTGTCTACAGGATTCGGGTTAATTTCGTAATATTAAAGGATTTCATCGAACTCTGTCCGCCATTTTATGAAACTTTTGTAAGTTGAAAGATACCCTGATTTTAAATTAAACTTCTCAGAACAAATTTGAAACTCTCGGGGCGAAAGGCCCCTTACTATGAACTAAAAACACTTATTGGCAATAGCAATACCGAAATAAAAATATTACAACGGAAAAAAGAACTGAGTTAGGAAGAAAATTTGTTCTTTGAAGGACGAGGATAAATAAAAATACTATTTTTTTCTTAATTTAGGTATAAATCGTAGAGAATTGGACCAGAACAGTAAACGAAGACAAACAATAGAAACTTCGTATTAAGGCATTATTGTAACTTCTTCAGCAACTCATTTCCTTGTTGTAACATTTTTAAATACCAGGTGTTTAGTTAGTCAAAAAGTTCCGTTTTTTGGGGTGATTGCGTAGTTACTGTTCACGGAAAACCTTAAAATATTTTAACTGAAAAGTTGTAACCCTAAATTTTTTTTGAACTAAACGACGAGTTTGTTTGTCATTAATTACGTAGTAGTATTATTTTAATTAAGTAGAACGACACAATATATTCAAAGTAAACATATAAATAAGGAACGGAGGGCACAGTTTATGTTTCGAAAGAAAAAATTTTCCGTGAATTACTTAGATTTATTTTATAAAACCTTGCAGGCAAAATACAGCTAGCAACTTAATATGAAATATCAAATACTTTTATTTCTAGGTACGGATTAGATTAAGAAATCGAACAACAAACATCCTTATGGTGCTAATTTGTATAGAATAACAATTTACAAATTAAGAAGTAGTGTTTATTGATTCCATTTTTAATGGAAGCTCATTGTGATTAATTTACGAGTCTAAAAACTTATTACCAATTTTGTAAAAATCTTCGACATGCGATCTCTATATTTATTATAAACATTTCAGTAAACAGAAACAAATAATGGTTAAATAAAGGTTCTACATATTAAAATATAGTAATTTGTATAACATTTATGTCCTTGAAAGGACATCCTATTACGAGTGAAATAAGGGTTTGTATAAATAATAATTAAAACCTTATTACTCTATCGGCTCTGATTTCTCCCCAAAGTTTTTTATTACTTAATTCTGCTTGGATCTGAGCCTTTGAATTGTGTAACATTAATTTATCCTGAACACACCGTAGATGGAGAAAAAGAAGATAAAATTTCTTTTAATATTACAAGTCGCCGTTTAATTAAGGGATTCCTAAGAAATCAGAAGGCTTAGTGTATTTTGGGAGAACAGGTATTTACGCAATATAATATCAAATATTTCTACAAATAATATGTTGCTCTGATTTCGAAATTCCCCAAATTCCCGTGTCTTTATTTAGGCGGCGGCACGTAGTTGGGCCGCATCCT